TTAAAGATCTATATAATCTCACACATGGAAGAGAAGTCAGAAATCATTTACTTACTCCAATGCATGAATTCTTCTTTGACAATATTAAAAGGAGTCATCCTGACTCTACCAGAAAAAAAAAAATCCACAAAAAAATTAAAAATCATCAATTGGGGCATTATAGAAAGATAAATCATTAAAATAATAATCTTCACATAAAAACAATAGATAACTTGATCTTGTGGCATGTCTTCTCATTATAACTCTTTGAGGAAGACATTATAACTCTTTGAGGAAGATGATGAAACTAGGCATACAGAAATACATCACATCACATAACTCACAAATAATAGCTTTTGCTTAACTTTAAAATCTAACTTAATGTCAAAGCTAATGCTACCAGATATGCCTAATATCAGCCAGGTTTGGTGGCTCACACCTGTAATTCTAGCGCTTTCGGGAACCAAGGCGGGAGGATTCCTTTAGTTCAAGAGTTGGAGACCAGTCTAGACAACATAGCAAGACCTCATCCCTACAAAAATTCAAAAAATTAGCCGAGTATGGTGGTGTGTGCCTATAGTCCCAAATACTTGGGAGGCAAAAGGAAGGATCACCTGAGCCTGGGAGGTTGAGGCTGCAGAGAGTCATAATTATGCCCCTGCATTCCAGACTGGACAACAAGGTGAGATTCTGACTCAAAATTTTAAATATATATATATATTTAGTATCAGACTGCCACATATCAAATGAGTTTTAAATGCTTGAAAGAGTTTTAAGTGTTTGTTCTTCTTATGAGAGTTTTAAATCAGCCTAGAGCAACCAAATTCTTAAAATTTATTTCCACTGAATTGCTCTAAACTACACACTTTCTCAGCGTATGTGACGTTCATGCAAGTAACTAAATACCTCTTGCCTGTAAGCTCTCAGTAATGTTTAGTATTCACAGGCTGATAATAGTCTAATAGAAGACCAGTGGGGGGAATAAAAGAATGATCTCAGTAAGATATTGAGAAAATAGGGCTGATTAGAGCAGCAAAGCATTTCTTTCTTTTATTATTCACCACTTACAGCAATAGACACTCATCTTTTACTCTGTGTGTATGAGTGATGCTGTGGGTTTGGGAGAGGAGGGCTCAGGTTTAATAGATTCTCAGAGAGAGGTTTCACTGCCTTTTATATGCGTATATGTGAGTTTTATGTGCTTGGGAAGAGAAATAGAATATATTAGTATGTGTACAACTAATACTAATACTGTGTCACAGTTAACTCTTCTCTGGAGTACTCTAGATTTTTCCCATTTTTTCTGTGTTTGAGAAAGATGCCTATTTGTTTGAGTCAAGGTCTCACTCTGTCACCCAGGCTGGAGTACAGCAGCATAATCACAATGATCATGGCTCGTGGCAGCCTCAATCTCCTGGGCTCAGACAATCCATGCCTGGCTAATTTTGTTGTTATTATTATTATTGTTATTATTATTATTATTATTATTTTGTAGAGACAAGGTTTTGCTATTGCTGCTCAGTCTAGTCTCGAACTTCTGGGCTCAAAAAATCCTCCCACCTTGGCCACAATGCTGGGATCACAAGCATGAACCACCACATTCTGTCAATTCTTATTATCTTTTCAGAAATAGTCAATATTTGCCAGGGTAAATTATTGTATATGTATTAGATGCTTATTAATGATTCTAAGATTGTTTTGCATTTCAGAACAATAATTGGGCATGTATAAGTAATGTCCACTCAGATTTTGACCTTCAGATACAATTTTTTGAGGATTACCACTGGGTAAATATATTACATTTCTTTTAGGGTCTCATAATATAGACTTCAGCATTTCTGCTGATCTTGTTCTAATATCTTTTCGGTATTATAATATCAAAATTACCACTTACTATAGTCACTCCCTTTCTATGTTGGGTTTTTCATTCTGTAATAAACTATCTGTGTTCACTTCATTCTGCTTCAGTCATTTTAATTTTGTCATCTTCAGTGCTATCTTGGTGTACTATAATGGAATGATGCTGAATCAGACAAGCTGTAATTTTTATTGCAAACATGTCTCAAAACAAATTTATAAGCTGAACTTGATATTAGAAACTACTAGAGGGAACATGCCTTTGTTCTTAATTACAAAATGCTCTGCTATTCTAAGCTTGGAGTTGTTGAAAATAAACCACCTTCTTTTGTGATGTTAAGAATTTCAAGTAGGCAATATATTAAAATATTCCTTTAAAATTGATTGTGTACAAAAATTTTGTATATAGTTGCAGACAGGTTTGCCAACTAAACTGTTTATATTATAACTCTATATTTTCAGGTTGTAAAACTAACATTTAAGGTGAAGCTATGTCACAGAAACCTGACTATATTAAAGAGTATAACATTTTATGTTAATCTTCATGGAAGAATAAGGAGCACTTGTTTTGTTTTGTTCTGAACAGTATTTAACTAGTGGGACTATTTGGGCAAACCAGTAATATATTTAGATGTTGGCATTAAAAAAACCAACTTCCTCCTAGATTGTGATCTCATCTCTTTCTAATTGAAATCTTCTCATAGTTACAATAGAGACTGATTGCCAGGTCTGCCAGACAGCTAATATTTTACTGTCAGGGTTTCTGATGAATCCAAACATGTACCTTCTCCATCCATAGGCCTGCAGGTTCTATGGTTCTATGTACAACTACCTGGCCTTGAGTCCTGCATATATAGAAGCAGAATGAATGAGGACTGTTGTTATAACCTGTATAGACATATTTCTTCTTCCTATGTTACCACTGTAAAGTTTCCACCACTAAGCAGTAGGAAATATGTTTTAAAATGTTAGAGTTTACAATACAACTTTACTGCTACTACTGGAAATAGCAGTAAGCTCTCCCTTGAAACAAAATTCTTTTTGTTATAATATTACCAAGATAATTATGGTATGCCCTGTCACTTTGGTATTAAGTTGTACCCTAGCTATATATAGTTCATTTTCATTCTTACCTTCAATTATTTATATGTACTATCACTTTAGTTTATTGTTTTAAAATGGTAGAATTAGTTCAATAGTTGTAGAATATTCCAGAAAATTCTTCTCACCAAGTATTACTTTTTAAACACACCATTTTATGTAGTAGATGTCTAGAGCAAAAAGGATTATGGTAGTTTCCGTGGAGTAAATTATATACTTCAACAATACGAAACTCAATAAAATGCAGATTAAATTTTGCTGAAAGTTACTGTTAGAAATTGGCACAAATACTGCTCTAACAAACGTGGGCCATAATGTATTGTTTGCAACACAATTTTGCACATGATGGAGACTGGTGAACTACAAGAGTATTCCCAGTACCTTTGCCCAATGCCAGTGTTGGTTGTAAGGATCTACAGGAAATCATTAGCAAACTCCATCTAAAACCAGACCAAAAGATCAGAGATAGACATTACAGTAGATTCATGGCTCATAGTTGCAGAGTGCTGTGAGCATTCATTCTTGTTCAAAATATGGTATAGTGTTTCAAAGCATCTGTTCCCATTCCCAGAAGTTAGTTAGTTGTAACTGTGCCAGCACTGACTTTGAATAGTATGCCAGCGACATAGTATTTGTTCTTAAATGTCAGTCATTAGAGTTGGGCACCTACACAAATTCAATGAGTTTCAGTGGAGTGGTAAACTGGTTCTTAAGTTAGAACATATAGATTAATTCAGAAACTCAAATGTAAGGAAATCAACTACCAATGTAGAGATGAATAACATGGGACAAATAGATACCATCTGTAACTCAAAGATTAATTTGAAAATCCTGGAGCATTATTTCTGAAAAAGAGAAAGCTGGAATCATGTTCTGCTTTCCAGAAATTTGAAAATCTAAACTTTATTTAAGTACAAATAAAAATAACTCATTCTCTCTCTCTCTCTCTCTCTCTCTCTCTCTCTCACACACACACACACACACACACACACACACACCCTAGAGCAAATATAGCAAAAAATACATATAGAAATGAGAATTATCATTATCATTTTGTAGTGAAAACACTCTAGACTTTGGGGCTCACCTTAACTTTATTGATTGCACCACACTGATCAAGGCACTTATTCTTTCAACCTAAGTTCCTTCAGCTATACAATGGATCAAATAATTCTGAACGTGAGACATTTCTGTGAGGATAATGTATGTTAGTGCCTGGCATGTATAAAGTAGCCATTCAATAAATAATGACTATTATAGATACTAATTTTTAAGCATACACTTTACCTTAAAATATATTGCTTATGTAAAAATAATTATTTTATAAGAATATTTAAGCTTGCCACATAAAGGAACTTAAATCTAATGCTTATAACATATTGAATTTTTTAAATTACTAATTATTATATCATTATCCAGCAGTCTAATTTAAATTGTCTTTACTTTGATAGTATTGAACAATTTTTCTTTTTCCCCAATGAAGTTTCACAAAAAATGTACTGCTTTACCACTGGAAATTTTCACTTTTCATTCAATAATAATATTGTCTTCTCATAATTTGTATAAGTGTCATACATTCCAAGAGCAGGGTGTTTTTTACACATTACATCTTTTTTGTTGTTGTTTTGTTTTTTGAGTTGGAGTCTCGCTCTGTCGCCCAGGCTGGAGTGCAGTGGCACGCTCACGACTACCCCAGCATCGACCAGCCAGGCTCAGGCGATCCTTTCCCCTCAGCCTTACAAGTAGCTGGAACCACAGGCGCGCGCTACCATGCCCGGCTAAGTTTTTGTATTTTTGGTAGAGACGAGGTTTCTCCAAACTACCCGAACTGGTCTCGAACCTGCAAGCCCAGAAAATCTGCTCGCGTTGGCCTCCCAAAGTGCTGGGATTACAAGCTGAGCCACCGAGCCTAGCACACATTACATCTTAATGTTAAGAAACAAAATAAGAAAAGCAATTTGATATCTATCTTCACATATGTCATTTTCTTCCTTTATTTAACATTTCTTCTTGGAAATATTTAGTACTCTCTCTTGTGTCTCTCTTCTCGCCCAATAATCAAGGTCTCTCCAGGACCTTTCCAAGCAAACAGATATCCCATATGGCACAGTCCTGGACTCCGCGGTATATGAGCATGTCCGCATGAAGGGATTGAATCCTTTCGAGAGGGACAGCATGTATTCCCAAATGTGGCGGATGATCAACCGAAGCAATGGATCAGAAAATAACGTTCTGGAATCCCAAGCAGGCATTCAAAAGGTACTGGCTATGGTTCTTCATTAATAGTCTTTACCATTTTGCCTCCCGTGTTGAAATTCCTGAATAGAGAATTGTTCCTTTCTTTCTTTCTTTCTTTCTTTCTTTCTTTCTTTCTTTCTTTCTTTCTTTCTTTCTTTCTTTCTTTCTTTCTTTCTTTCTTTCTTTCTTTCTATCTCTGGCATAGAGTTTTCAGTTGAATTATACCTTCTGTTGATTTTTAGGAGGTTTTAAGGTGACTCATTGCGCTTATAGAGGAATTCAAAGTCCTCTCTGGTGTGTCTAAGAGATCAATTTCCAACTGAATTCCAAAACTAAATACACACTCTGGTTTTTTGCTCAGAAAAGGGTTAAGGACTTGCAAACATGAAGCCTAAAAATGTTTTTTACAAATCCCATTCCAAATATCATTCAGGTTATCTGATTATTTTAAATGACTCAGGGTATTTTCTATACTGCATTTATTTCTAGATTAAAACTTTATCTTTAGTTGTGATTATGTGAAGCTATCTGGAAGTAAAGTTAATCTTGTCAACAAATAAGTTTCCTACAAATGTCTGCTTCTATTTCCAAATGTGAAAATTTTTATTTACATCTTATTTTTCTATAACCATCATTTAGATGTAACTATACAAAAAAGACTTCTTAGAAAGGTTTTTTTCACTTATGTGAAAAATTTCAAGGTATTTTCTATTCTGAGCTGTAGTTTATAAACATGTATACGTGCAATTCAGGTCCTATCAACCTCTGTGAGAGACTAGTTTTTTGTTTAAAATTATCTCTACTGACTAGTCTAGTGAAAATCACTATTGTTGGCATTTAATAAATAATTATTGAATGAATGAATGTCAATAACGTCAGCAGTATATGTTTTTCTGTCTGACCTTCAACAGCAGTGTAATTTGGACCCCAAGTCTGAGTTTGCTGTTCAAAAAACAGATTCAGTAATACCATGCTGGAGAATGTTTTGATGACTATAAAAATTATTCTGCCACGGATTCCAGCATTATTCTCTGCCTTTTCGCATGTCACCGTTTACCCACTGTTGCTATTACTATTGTCCCAAGAGTCAGTCTAGTAATTCTTGCAGTTACCATATTGATATCATTATTTTGAGAGCTGATGATACGACATAAATCTTTTTCCAAGTACTGAAGATCCTTTAAGAAAGTGACTATCCTTGTGATGTTAGCAATAGCATCTAACTCCTTTATCCTCATTATATTAATCTCCATTTTTCAGGGTCCAGGTATTGATCCTAAAATGTATCTTTCTTTGTTTTCTCAAGTAAACCATTGGCTCCCAGAAGTTTAACAGCGTGTTTTCCAGTTATTGGAGTGGAGGGTGACAGGGATGAAGCCAGTGAGCAAATGAACATGTTGGAATGAGGCTAGACAATTTCAGGTTCACCAGGTCTTCATAGAATGAGAATAATTGTACTAAATTGTTTTGAAAGAGTTATTTTCCTTTATGCTATATATTTAAAATAAATGTGCTTTCCTGATGATTAGTATACATAAAAATTCATAGTTTCTATTTCTGTTCCATTTTAAGAGCCAAGTTCCCCATACTTTATAATCTCATTCTATACGGTATTATTTCAGAGAAATTTTATTTTATTTGCTCTCATTGGATATATATACTCCCAATAAAATATTTTTAAAATGCAAATGAACATATTCATTAATTTTTTAATTCATCAGTATTTTCTAAATATCAATTATGTATCAGGCACTGATCTAGAAACTGGATATAAACTCAGTGACAGAAAGATGGTCACCGGATTCATAAAATATAGAGTCTGATGAGGAAGACAGAGAAAGGAAATAGAACACATAATTAGACAAGATGATTTAAATTGTGACAAATGCTACGAAATAAAAAATGAAGTTGCTATTATGGAGATAAAAGAGAGAATTCACTTGAAATACAGTGATCTGATGAGGATCCTTGAGGAGATAAAGTATTAACTATGATCTGCCTAATTAGGATCCGCCCATTTACAAAAGGTGAAAGGGCATCCAGACAAGATACAGCACAGGCAAAAGCTTGAGGGTACGTTTCAGAAACTCATTAAAATCAACACAGCTAACCCAAAATAACTGAAATCAGAATCTCAATGTGATATCTGTATACCCACGTACATAGCAGCACTATTCACAGTTGCCAAGAGGTGAAAAGAGCCCAAGTATCCATTGACAATGAATGAATAAACAAAATGTGGTATATACAATACAATGGAGCATTATACCGCCTAAAAGAAAGGAAATTCTGACACATGTCACAACATAGACAAGCCTTGAGAATATCATGCTAAAAAAATAAGCTAGTCACAAAAAGATAAATACTGCATAATCCCATTTATATGAGGTATCTAGAACAGTCAGATTCATAGAAACAGAAAGCAGAAAGAGATTTCCAGGAGCTGAAGGGAATGGGAAATAGGGAGTAGTTTAATGGGTTTAGAGTTTTAGTCTTGCAAGATGAAAAAAATTGCACAATAACAGAGACTGATTGCACAGCAATGTGAATATACATAACACCACTGAAATGTACACTTACACATAGTTAAGATGGTAAATTTTGTGGAATGTGTATTTTACCACAAGTAAAATTATTTAAAATGAACATGGCTGCCGTATGTTGAATGAGAGAACATGAAGTGATGCTAGTAGGCTGGTATCAAATCATGTAGGACCTTTTTGACCTTGGTTAAGAACTAGATTTTATCTGAACTGCAAAAAACACTACTGAAATAAGAAAGCATTTTATCTTTCAAGAAGGGCACTACCATAGCTTCTCTGTTGGGAATGGGTAACAGTACAGGAAGAGTGGACATATGGAGAGCATGAAAGACATGTAACTTCTCAAGGGAGACTTGTAAACAAGGACTTATTTCATTCTTATGTAGTTTGTTTTGTTTTGTTTTTTCAACTTTTAAATCTTTTATTTCAAAGATGTGTGGTACAATTCAGGGCTAGGTATACAAATGTTCATTATGCAGATACCCTGTTGATGAGGTATGTCCCCCCATCCCCTGACAGTTTCCCTCAACTGCCAATCCCTTTCTCATAGTATTATGATAATTGTTCAAGGTCTGCTCATGAGTGAGATAATATGGCACTCTTCTTTGTTTCTGTGATAGATCACTGAGTATGATAGACTCTAAATCCATCCAAGTTGCAAAGTCCATAAGTTTGTCCTTAGTCATGTCTGCATGATATTCCATCATTATATTTTTAAACACACACCTTATATGGCACGTATTCTTTGAGTTAATACAAATTGGGTAAACATTCTATATCCTGGTATTTCCAAAATGATAGATAAATCATAAAGATATAAGGTATATTTGTCTCAGAATATTTAAGTGGTCATGTACGTGTCAAGATACACATATATATCTTCTAGGTCTTCAGTATTGTTTATGAAAATCTCTCCTTTTCCTAGTATGTGGGATACATTCTTCGGGCTTTTTAATTATTTAATTTTTACCTTTATGCCTTTTAGCCATATAGAATTTAATTTAGCATATATAAATGTATATATATGAAATTTTATATATCGGGAAAATTTCGTTTTGGACTAGGCTGTTGATAATCTGGCAGCATGTGCTGAGCAATTTAGTATTATTATTCTTTCAGCCTTACAGGGCTTCTTTTCTTTAAAGATGTACTATTCCATGACCTTTCAACTTAAGTTAGTGTTTCTTATGCTGCTGTGAAATGTCATTCATTAAAAATATATATATTATGCAGAGTAGAAAGAACTTTGGTCATACTGGTCTTAGATAAAAACCTCCTGGTTTTGTTTCCTGTTCCCTCCATTTCTTAACTGTGTAACTTTGGGCGAATCACTTGGCTTCTCTATGCCACACTTTATTCATCTGTAAAATGATCACAATATAGGAATTAAAAGCATGGACTTTGTGGGCATGTCAACCAGGTTTGAATCCAGCTCACTTTTTAAAGTAAAATGCTTAAACATAACTAGTTGCTTAATATTTCTGGACCCTGGGAGTTTCATTATGATCATAAGAATCCCTACCTCACATAGTTTTTGTCAAGACTAAATAAGATAATACATGTAATGCATCAGCAAATAGTATGATTAGGGCCATAAACTTATCTTATAAGATGGGCCTGAGGAGTACCTGAGAGAATGGATATGTAAGGGATTTGTAACTACAAAACTTTATTGTTTAATATTTCCTTAACATTAATATAAATTGTGGCATAATAAACAAGAAAATGAAATGAAGTAAAGAGTAATTTCTATTTCCTGACAGTCTGCAGATGTGGAGGACTAATGAGTTTAAAACTGCAAATCAAGGCCTCAATTATTTATTACACCATATTTATTCAGTTTTCTGATTAACTAGAAAGGTAGTGGAAAATGTTCTTATGAATCCATAATAGAAAATATCTATGTGAAAAAATTTGTTTGTAGTATATATTTCTTTCAACCCAAATCAGAGGCAGTTGAACACTGATCAGACAGAGAATAGGTGGTAATGATAAACTGTATTTTCGTTCGGTTTGCAAGGCTTTGGCCAGCTTCTATTAAATAACAAAACCAACCAACGAACAATAACCTTCTCACCTGCTAAAGTTCACTGGAGGTCCATGAAATTGAGAACTATGACACATGAAATGTGGTTGTGGATTCTTCTTCGAGCAACTGGTCTTGTGCATTTCACACAGCAACTTTCTATTCTGCCACTGATCTCTAATTTGTGCATTCAGAAAAGAGCTCAGAGTTTCTCTAAGTCAACATTCCAAAAAGGCCAAACTTATTCTATAATATCTTTAACAGGAACCCATATATATATATATATATATATATATAGTAACTGCCTTCCAGGAAAGCCTGCATCATCGTGCAAAACAATCCTCACAATCTATAACTTTAAATAGATCCCATTAATGTCTCAGACTCTGCTTGTTCTTAATTGTGTTAAAAGTCTCATTAAGTTTCTCTTACTTGAAGGTGGATCCAGATCT